CTTGGTCCGGAATCAGCTGGGCGACTGGAAGAAGACGGAGAGCGACCAGAAGTAGAAGATGGCGATGACCCACCGGCACATCACCCTTCTGCACCGCCCGACGAGGTCAGAATCGACGGAACTGATTTCTCTTTAATTTTCCTTGTACTTTTTTTTAAGCGGCGGTTTTGCTTATGAAGTGAAATTGATTGAATAATTGAATATTAATGTTGGAATTTATCTACTTTATTGATGCAACCTGCAAACTTGATGGTGTTTTGTGTAGTTATTTGACATTTCGACAACAGTGGATCCAAGTTACATAATATCTATGATAAGAAAATTGCTTCCTACTGATGCAATAAATAGTCATGACTCTCATGGGGTTGGTGCTGGTGGTGGTGATGCAAAAATTCAAGGCTCAGTTGTTGATAAAATGGAAGAAAAAGAATTCTTCTTGCATAAAGACAAGATTCTGAACTCAAATGATGGGTATGAGAGCATGGATATTGTTTCTGATTTGGATAAATCTGATCCTCGAGGAGGGGAAGATGAAAATTCATGTCATAAACTTGAACAGCCGCGGTTATTGGCAGGGGAGGAGGTATGGGAAGAGTATGGCTGTGTGCTGTGGGATCTTGCTGCCATTAGAACTCATGCTGAGATCATGGTACTTGAATTCATGCTTTTATGATTCTTTTTCCCAAAGTGTCTATGGTTAAGTTTTGCTTATTCAGCATGTTGACTTATACTGAGTTCTATGTTTATTATGAAAATTTACTAGTGGCAAAGCTAATTTAAATCAGGTGCCAGCTCTAAGTCAGAATTTTTATTGTTTGTGGCATTCTGTGTACTGGACTCAGGATCAACATTATATATGCAGGTGCAAAATCTAATGCTTGATGTACTTTTGGCAAACCTTATGATTACCGAGTCTGTTCGTGTTACGGTAAGCCAAGCAATTGCTACCATTTTGAAATCTTCTTGTACTTATGGGATTAATTGCTGGCTGGTAATCAGCTATGAAATGTTTTCATTTTTCATCAGGAGATTTGTCTTGGAATCATTGGAAATCTAGCCTGCCATGAAGTTCTAATGAAGCACATAATCTCTACAAATGGACTAGTTACCACAATAGTAGGTCAATTATTTTTAGATGACACCCAATGCCTCTGTGAAGCTTTCCGGTAATTGTCCTTTTTATATGAATTGGTTGCTACTTTATGTTGTGACATTTCTAACCATCTTCATCTTTTTAGTATGAAGTCTTGATTAATTTGTTTATGTGTGCTATGGATCTTGGTTTTTGAATTGTTTTTTTCTTAGCTGCATACTCTAATAGATAGTGTGGTGAGACAGGTTGCTAACTTCAGGGCTGCAAAGTAGTGAACGTGCCACATGGGCAGAGGCATTGCAGTCTGAAAATATCTTAAGTCGTATCTTGTGGATTACTGAAAATACTTTGAACCCTCTCCTTATAGAAAAGGTAACAAAAACATCTGTGCTGCATTTCCTTCATTCATGTGTATTTGCTTCAGATGGAGTATCAATTTTTGTCTTGGTTATTGGCTGAAGAATATTCATTTTTCTAACAGAGTGTTGGACTAATACTAGCCATCTTAGAAAGCCAACAGGAAACTGAGACTATTCTTCTACCATCATTGATGAAGCTTGGTTTACCTAGTCTGTTGGTTAATCTCCTGGCTTTTGAGATGAACAAACTGACAAATGAAAGAATGCCTGAAAGGTACAAAAACTTCATAATTATTTGATGACTTGATGAAATTATTGCATTTGAAATTTCTATGCTTTTGAACATACTAAAAAGCTTTTGGCATTGTGCCATCCAGTCTCAAGAAAAGGAATTTCCTTTGTCTCTGAATTTTGATATTTCATTTACATAAAATTTCAGGTACGCTGTTCTTGATGTTATTCTTCGAGCAATTGAGAACCTTTCTGCTATAGATGGTTACTCTCAAGAGATCTGCTCAAATAAAGAACTTTTTCAGCTAGTCTGTGACCTGGTCAAATACCCTGATAAAGTTGAGGTACATATCGATTCTCCAGGAACTACAAGTGTTTTATAAGATTCATATTCTCTATTTATAACAGATGCTGATAAGCAAATTGCTTGAATGTCAAATAATCAAATATACTGAATTATTGACCTCAGCTTCTTAGATTAGGTGTTTTCTTTTCTTTTGATGTTTCATTGAAGAAAATATCCGTCTACTATGCTATTTCTTGAAAATATATTGTTACAAAAATCTTTTAGATTACTCCTTGGATGGGCTTTCTAAGTAAGCATTGTGGTCAAGTGACTGCCTGTGTATCAGCCATATTTGGCTTGCCTGCAGTGCTGTGATGACCAAACTAAAGCTCCCTTGAACCTGCTTGTTCCAGCTGATATTTAAAAAAAACAGTATTTAAGTGATTCTTAATGTTTATGCTTATAGGTTGCCAACTCCTGTGTCACTTCTGGAGTGCTAATTGCAAACATTCTTTCAGATGCATCTGATCTAGCAGCAGAGATAGCACATGGTAAATTTTTTATGCTTTTTAACAACAAAGTTTTTCTTTCTGTTATGACTAACCTTTTGCATCCACCTGAATCATTTAAGTTGTATGTCATTGACACTTTGGGTGTACCCAGATTTGCCATTCTTGCAAGGTCTTCTTGATATTTTCCCTTTTGCTTCGGATGATTTAGAAGCACGGAAAGCACTGTGGAGTGCCATTGCAAGGCTTCTAGTTAATGTTCAGGAAGATGAGATAAGTGCATCTGATCTACGTGAATATGTGTCAGTTCTGGTGAGCAGAACTGATCTAATTGAAGATGATCTTCTCGATGACCAAGTAGATGAAAAGATCAAAGAAAATGGGGGGTTGGGCATCTGTGGCCCACAGTCAAATGCTAGAACTATAGCTGTATCCTTTGGAACTCGCTGGGAAAAATACCATGAACTTTGTTGTGGAAACTTTACATACTTGCGGATTCGTTTAACTCATGCATTTCTTATGTTTCATACCATGCCTTGCAATAGTTCTGCTTTCACTTGACCTTTGCTATAGCTTGGAAGGATCATCAGTATACTGAGTCAGTGGAATGCTTCAAAAGATCATGACGAGGGGAAGAATGATTTGATGGGAGAAGATAATGGCAATGGTGGAAATATTGGTAGATTGTTGGATTGCTGTAGCAAGCACACCAAGTAAGCTGCTTCTTTATTTCTAATTCTAATTACTTGTGGCAATGCTATAAGAAGGCCTTGATCTCGGGGTTTTCAGTACTCTTTTTTCCATTCATGTTCCCACATAAAGCTTATATATCCTTTCCTGAAAACTTATTTTTCGCCATTCGACATACTATGAGACTCCAACTAACATGAATTCAACAATATCGTGTTGCAGAGTGAACGCTGAATAATCTTTCACAGATCAACATTCCTCAAGTAATCTCTGCACTTGATGTGCTATTCTTAAGAAGCATGCTTCTTAGGCGGCGATGCAGATTCTCTTGTTTCCAATTCAATGCCCCACAGAGCCAACGGGCAGGAATCAGCTGCCAGGCACAGATTTTGGTTGCAACAATTTCTAAACCACAGAAAGCAAAGCACTCATATGCAATCAACTTGCCCCAACATGGCAGCTCAGTCAAATTAATTTGTCTCGAATCAGGAGGCATATTCATCAAAAGAGACACTCTTGGGTTTTTTTGTAAGATTAATAAATTAGGAATGTATGAACATCAGGAAAACATTAATATATAGAGCTTCCTAGAACAACTTGCAGTCATTCATTTAACCGTTTGTATGATTTCATACAAAGTCTTGGACAAGGTTCTTGTAGAACAGTTTGTATGTCTGCAAAACTTCAAGGTACCACATTGCTTCTTGATCTGGAAACGGGAAAGATCAACGATCTTGTGAGATGAATTCGTTGAACAAATTTCATGAAAATTGCAGAGAATCAACATAAAGATGACAGAAGAATTAGAAAGAAGATCAAAGGAAAAAGTTCAAGCACCTTAAACATGGGGAGTTCACACCAATCCTCATGAGGGCAATATAAGCTATGAGTCTATACCCCACAAGCATGATACCCAAAGCTATGGCAGCAAGAGCTTGTCCTTCTAACCCCACTAACTTGATCGATGGAAACTCTCCAACTGAGCAAACCTTCCCAAAATCGCCACAAGGATAGGTTTCATTTGTCTTGAATTGAGACCCGATTAGCAATTTGTAACTGTTATAGGTGATGGACCCATACTTTATCCATGCTATGAAGGGAGGGACATGTTGCACATAGTATCCTCCTGCCAGTTCGAAGGAAAGCATAATTACAGATCCAAGCATGGTTGCTGATTTTTGGTCCATTACCATTGCCCCAATAGCAAGTCCTAAGCCTTGGGAGACCAAGACATTATAAAGGAGGACAGAAAGTGTATGTAGGAAATGCAAAGCGGCATGCTTGAAACCTGCCATCCAGTAGGTTATGGTGACAAAAATAGTCGGAAGCGCAAGCTCCATGGGGAGATCATGGAAGGTTCTTGCCAAAAAGTAGGATGAAAGCCTATACATGCCGGAAGAACGTTCTTTTTCTAGCATCATCCTTTCTTGAGGGAAGGTGAAAATGGCATTAAACATAGGGGAGAAACTCCAAAATCCTGAGTAATAGAACAACAATCCAATCTGCAAAATCTCAAATCAAAATTAATGAGCATTTCATATAATTTTTAAAAGAAAATTAAAAGAGTTATGGTAGTAATTACATACAAGTTACTAAAATATCAAGTAATGGGCACCTGATCTTGTAAGTGAGCAATATTAGATTGCCACCATAGTAATCCCACAAGGAAAGATATTACAAGGACTTGAGCAATCTTGAGTCTAGAGAAAGACGCATATCGTCTCTCCTTAACTCCTCTCCTTAGTAAGACAGTAAATTGTTGCCACCAGGTGGTGGACCAACGTGCAAATTGTTCAATTTCTACTTGATCATGAGGAAGTGCAAGACTCTCAATTTCTAGAATTGATTTCTCAGCAAGATTGGTCTTATAGGCAGATATTAGTGTTTGCTTCACCACACTTTCCTCTTCTCTCTCTTCATGTGATGAAACACCTACATTTGAAAACACTATATTCTTTAATATTGTTTTATTTTTCTTTAACTTCAATAAAAACAATAGATACTAATTAATACACCTTCTAATTCATTTCTAAATTCTTAGATATATCAACATTGGAATCATATGTCTCCAATACATTAGTACACAAGTTCCATACATTATAGAACTTTATTTTTCACACCAAACAAATATAGAACTTTCCAAAATTCTCAGAGATTCCATGTTCCATGCCAGAAATTAATCTCAACCGGTGATAGCAAATCATTTCCAACACATAAGTACAAGGTTCCATGTTGATGCCCAAACAAATCCAGGAATTTCCCAAAATTCTCATATATATCTACATTGAAAACATATGTTTTCAAGTATAGTGCTTTAATTTCTCATAAAGATATCGTCAAGTTCCAATCTAATAAATTACTAAAAATGAAGAATTAACTCAACTAACACATTTAAAGATGATTTAAAATCATGAAAATTCAACTCATGCATTTATTAGCAAACTTACCATTAGCAAGATCAAGTAAGAAATCTGAGGGATTCATTGTAACGGAAGGAGAATATCCGATGCTATGGAAATAATCCATGACCGACGATCCCTTCCCAAAATACAAAGGATTACCTTCTGACAGGAGCAATACCTTATGAAACATGTAGAACAGCCTACTGGACGGTTGGTGGATTGTCATCACCACCGTCCTCCCACCTTTGGCCAGCTCCCACAACGTGGACACAATCCTTTGAGCCGTGGTGGAGTCTAGCCCTGATGTAGGCTCATCCAAAAACAACAAGCTAGGGTTTATAAGCATCTCCTGCCCTATACTCACCCTTTTCCTTTCTCCACCAGAAATCCCCCTAAGGGATGTATCTCCAATTATGCTGTTCTTGCACTTAGTCAGTCCGAGCTTAGTAATCACAGCCTCAGCATGCAATACTTTCTCCTTTTTTTTAAGGGTATTTGGAAGTCGAAGGAGGGCAGTGAAGACCAGGGTTTCTTCCACGGTCAGGTGAGGATAGAGCACATCATCTTGGGTGACGAAGCCGGTCTTTCGCTTCATAGGGTTGGAGAAGCGTTTGCCATTATAGGTTATGGAACCTGTTAAACTACAGCAGCTGCCATTCAAAGTACTGCCCAATCTGCCATTCAAACTACTGCCCAATCTGCCTCCTAGGGCTGTTAAGAGAGTCGTTTTACCGCTACCGGACGGACCCAACATAGCCACTATCTCACCGGGACACACCATCCCCGTGACTCCATTCAAGATCACTTTTTCTTCGGATTGTTCAGTTTTTCCACATAACCCTTTTTTGCGAGTGGCTTCGATTTTGTACACAACATCCTCAAACTGTTCATAAAAAAAAAAATCAGAAATTATAATAAATCATTTATTATTTTCAGTGAAAATTAATAAAAATTCATACATAACTTCAATATAACAGGTGGATCTGCTTTACTAAAGAAAATGGCTGCGGGTTCTTCTTGGTTTTCTTGTTGTTGTGATTGAATCTCATTATTTTGGTTTTCTATGTCTGCCATCTCTTGTTCGGTGGCCAAACCAGAAAACCCTTTTCTCAGATGGAAGAAGCAGTGATAATTATAAGAATATATGAGTAGGCGAGAGGGAGAAGGAGAAGGTGAATATGTGTGACTAGGGTGGGTCTGGGGTTTCAGGTATT